CAACGATTCGGAGTCGATAAAATAGAACATGTAAATGAATTAATAGTACGATGATACGTACGGTAGTTTGGGACACCGTAGCCTAAGCAGTGATCAATCAAGTATTTCAAGAGCCCTGAGCATCACACACGTGTTTTTAAAATTATTAAACTATATTGTTATTTAGTAATCGTATATTATTTAATAATCGTGGTTCGAAGAAATCGTCATTCTTAATCAATAATTAATATCGTTCTCATGAATAACTTTTTCGTTTCTTTATAATCAATTTAAATATTCGTTGAGAATAAAATGTGAGAAAACACAATCAGCAAGTTTGCCTCGTAAATCATCTCGGTGGATTGGTGGTACATCTCAGACGAGTGAGTTGATTCTACCCAGTCTTGAAAAAAACTTATTTTAATTATCTCTGTTATCTAATGCTACGCATTAAACATGCATATATGTAATTGTGTTTATGAAGGAAAATTCGAACGTATTATATCAATGTGTGTTTGTGTTCTGATGATAAGAAAACGCCCTGTATTTGTCTAGTATAAGTAAAGATTAAGTATAGTCTGTGGTATGACGAAGTGTTGATTATTTATCTACGTTTATTCAGCAAAAAGTACGAACGATTAACCTTTCATATGATATGAATATTGAAGACGTATCGCATGAGGTTATGTTACGCGACAATTAATTTCAATTATGTTTTGAAACGTGTCCTATATCAAGATTGCTCAGTCATCTTATAATTTTGTACCTGTCAGTTAAGTAAACAGTCCGATTATATTTTTCCATTCGTTACGCAGTTTTAATAAAAATCACAATCTGGTATGTTGTGCCAATCCTAAATAACACGGTATTTGGTCCAATTCATTCCTGATAATGGCTGATGAAGTAGAGGCACTTCGCCTTAACAATGAAGAAATTGAATATATGGAAGCTGAGCTTGATGGCGATGAGGATGATGGTTCTGACGGAGTGGTAGTTCCAGAACTTCAGGGTACATTATCCAAATGGACAAATTACATACACGGCTGGCAAACAAGATTTATTGTTCTCAAGGATGGTACTTTATCTTATTATAAATCCGAACAAGATAGTGGATTTGGTTGTCGAGGTTCGATAAGTTTATATAAGGCTAATATCAAGGTAGGATATTATACGTATAAAGCTGTATATTGGACGTTATATTGTCCGAATTAATAGTAAATGCATCCATTAATTTATTTTGTATGTTGATTTAATTTAATAGGCACATGAATTTGATGAATGTAGATTTGACGTATCTGTTAATGATTGCTTAGTATGGTATTTGAGAGCAAGCAATCCTGAAGAAAAACAGAGATGGGTAGATGTTTTAAAGTCATATAAGGTAAATTTTTCAAAAGCATTTAGAAGCATATTTCTTTTTTTTAATTATGCTTTTCATTTATGTATCAATGTAATCATATATAAATGTAGTTATTATATAAATGGGTAAATACAATGTATGATTTGCCAATGCATGAATAAAATATCAATTTTCCATATATTTTTATTTTAAACAGTCAGAATCAGGCTATGGAAGTGAAAATAGTCTTAAACGTCATGGTAGTGCCATTTCCTTAGTGTCAAACACACAGTCTACTACAAGCGCTGGTAGTTTTACAAAGCGTGGTATTAGAGGTTTGAAAGAAAAATTAGCAGAAATAGAAACATTCAGAGACATTCTAATAAAGCAAATTGATACGTTACAAAAATATTTTGATAATTGTGCAGAAAATGCTAAAAATGCTTTCTCAAAAGGTATGACTTATTCTAAGATATTTTCTTATTATAGAAGCAGAAGAAAATAGGACAAATTCAAACTTGGATTGATGATTACTTTCTTTCGTAATGATTTACAGAAAATAAGATTGAAAAAAAATTTAATCCGGCTGAACAGTCAGTGGATTTTAAGGGTGAAGCAATTACATTTAAAGCAACAAGTGAAGGAGTCTTGGCGACGTTACAACACTGCATTGAGTTAATGATACAGCGTGAAGATGCATGGCGTCGTAGATGGGAAAAAGAAGTTGAAAAAAAGCGAAAATTACAAGAATTGTATAAAACCTTAAAAGATCAAATTACCATGCATCAAAGTGATTCTCCAAGACCTCGAGTTCTCATTCATGGAGGTCCAGATTATGAGGTTTGATTTTTATAATTATGTGATTTTTTAAGAAGATCTTCTGCTTACTAGGACATTAAATTTATCTTATTATTTAATTGTTGTTTTAAATTTGACACACAATCGTTTGTTTACATCCAAAGGTTGTTAGAACATGATTCGTTCATCTATTTATACTTGTGTCACATTATATACATATACATAACTATATATATACATATATATATATATATATGTATATATATATGTATATATATATGTATATATATATATATGTATATAGTTATGCTTCATTTGTTATTTTTGACAGATATTCTTTGTCCTGTCATTGTTCATTTCATTATATCATTTATATGAAAAGCTTTTATAGATGCTTATATTCCTTTTTCTAATAATTTCATTTATATTAGATATAAAAGCTTGTAGTAATTTAGGCATGACATTTGAGAAATGTGTTATTTTGAAGAAGTAAATAACAATCTTAATGTGAAATATCCATAGAGAAAATATATTTTAGATATAATAGATGTATATATCTTTTTGTCGGCTGTAATTATAAATGTTAATATAAAAAATTAACAATTTCAAGGAAGGTCCACACAGTGCTCTCTGCGATGAAGAATTTTATGACGCAGTAGAAACTGGTTTAGATAAAATCGATGAAGAGAATCAATTAAGAGATCGTTTGAAACAAAAATCTGTTACCATTTTAACTACACCTACTACATCAGCGGTAAAGCATAGGCTTTGGCCTGAGGTAATTAACTATTGTTCTAATTTGTTTGAATGAAAATATAAAGGATTTGCCTGCGTTCGTACGTGTAATAAAAAAAAAAAAAATCTATAATTATAGATAGAAAAAATAACTATGCAACAGCTGCATTATGCTAGACTTGGCGTAGGAGGAGCAGGAGGATGGCAATTATTTGCTGAAGATGGTGATATGCGAATGTATAGACGCGAGGAGGAAGCCGATGGTTTGGTCGTAGATCCTCTTAAAGCTTGTCATGTTGTAAAAGGTGTAACCGGACATGAAGTCTGCGAAATATTCTTTGGTCCTGAATATAGAAGCGAATGGGAAGCTACGCTCGAAGATATGACTGTAATAGAAAATATCTCCAAGGATACTTTGGTATTTCTGCAGACACATAAACGAATTTGGCCTGCGAGCCAAAGGGATGCACTTTTCTGGTCCCATATACGTAGAGTAACAGATGATCAAGATCCAGATGCACATGATTTATGGATAGTATGCAACCACAGTACAGAATATTCCGATTATCCAGTTTGTATTCCAAACATCAATTATCAAACATTTTTATACATTTTTATACATTTAATAACACGAGTTAATTTTTTTATACAGTCAAATGTTGGTAAATGTGTGAGAGTTTACTTAACAGTATGTCTTGTATGTCAAACATTTATTGATCCTCCAAAAGATGAAGAAGAAATAAAACGGGATAATATAACTTGCAAAATAACATACTGTTCTGTCGGTATGCTATCTTTCATATTACGATACATATTTAGATGAACAAATTAACTATTAACTATAACCAAATATAAATTCTAGTAAATCCTGGTGGATGGGCACCAGCATCTGTCTTACGTGCAGTTTATAAGAGGGAGTATCCAAAGTTCCTTAAACGTTTCACCAATTTTTGTATTGAACAATGCAAAAATAAGCCAATTACATTCTGAATGTGATTTATAGGATTTAAAATTTTCTATAAAACTCCATCTTTACACTTCATTCAAGTGTCTTGGTAAGGTATTGTATCAAATCTGCAAATGTTGTAATTGCAGATATTTGTGAAGCACTTTTGGATTATTATAAAGTGTTTTGTATACTATTTTTTTTATTTGCTTAATATAATGTATCTATATACAGCTTAAGAAGAAAAAAAAATGAAACTATCATATTATCTCATCAATAATTTCCAGAGGTGTACAGAAATGTATACATTTAAAAAATCTACTGTATAACGCGCAGTATATAGTATAATACACCATTCAAAACTAAACTTTATGTCTTCACACAATAGCATAATTGCTTGTTGTTTCATTGTTATACAGAATGATATTGAAATCAAGTTGTACAAATTTAAACAAAATTAAATACATATACGTTTATCTACTGTTATGTCGTACCCATATGAATGCAAAATTGTATAATACAAATTAAATTGTTATTTTTATTTATACATAAAGGTGTACATAGATACACAATATAAAGGTCCCATATATGGCGTAACATAATAAAGACTGTTGTAGACTAATCTTAATTTGGTATTATTTTATGTTGCCATTGTATTAAAAGCTATGTATAAAGAAGTTAAAAATCATTTTCCTTGTATGTATTTCATTTCAACTATCATATATATATATATATATATATATTAGATAGAAAAAAAATATCTGCACAAATTGCACACATCTTCAATTAATTTCTAGGGTTTCAAAATTATTATGGAAGACTTTATAGGAAATACATTTATTTCTAAGAGTTATTTATTTAAATAACAATAAAAAAAATAAACACTGACATGTCATTTTTATAAATCTACTTTTTACAAGAACAACAATGACAATTTGCTTTGACAATCAAACAAACAAATTGCTTGACAATTTGTTGTGATACGGGTGTTGTTTGTTTTTTATAAGATGTGAAAAAATTTAAGAGAAAACATAAAAAACTCTCTCTCCTCTCTTCTCCTATATTTTTTATAAAATATTTAATATCTTAGAATAATTAAATTATTAAATGCATGATTTTATATCAACTATTGCTTAATTATAGTTTTATATTTTTTATATTATACAATATAAATCGCTAAATTAATTGATTTATCTATGTTTGTTTTCAAACTATGAATAAATTACTATGATGCATGTTGAAACACATAAATACTTGTGTTTTGTTATAAAAAAAAATGCTTTCCACTGTGAACCTTAAAAAGATAAATTAAATCAATGCCTATGTGTTTCTTTATCAATAACAATTTCAGCCATTGCACTGATTTTATCAAGTTCATTTTACTGAAGTTAGATCTATAGGAAACTGTTCTCTTTTCTTACTTATTATTTTGGCAGAGAAGCTATGGCTTCAACAATAAATGTAAAACTTTACTAAACAAAAAATGATATTTATAAAAGCTATATTTACAAAATTCGTTTTCTGGAATGCATATAAATAAGAGCTCCAGAGATACGGATTATTAAAATTTGTATACAGTATAAAATAACCATTTTGTGTGTTCCAAGTAAAAAATTTCTATATTTTAATGATCCTCTGATAATTATCGCATGTACTTAAAATAAAAATTCATTTATTCTTCGCATCCATATGAAGATCTTACAGTTGATTATATAGCTCTATTAATTGCACTAATCTGCATAACCAAAATAAATATTCTATTTGGCATGACATAGCCCTTACAGCAAACTCAAGCACTCTGTCTGTTTTATATCGTTCAAGTAATTTGTAGTCTGTAAAACAACTTGACTATTTTTCAATGGCATTTGCATCACTTTTAGTCTGAAAAAATTTACTTTGTTTCATGTTGCACCTTGTACTAACATAACATATCCTTAAGATTCATAGGATCCTAATTTTTTTAATACACTAAGACCTTTCTCTTCATATTCTTCTTTCGTTATCCATACAGAATCTCGATCCTTTGTTATTTCTGCTAATACAGCACCACCCATAAAAACCATATCTTTGCGTCGCGGTGAATCTTCGATTTTGATTTTGAATTTCTATATAAGAATAATATAAACTCTTTGGAGGAACCATATTCCATGCCATATTATCAGATGTAATAAAAATTAAACAAAAAAAAAAATATATATATATGTATATAAATTTTTGATAAACTTACATTAAGTTTGGATGTATCATTTTTTAAAACTTTCTGCAAATAAAGTTGCTTGATCTCTCGTTCGAGTCTAGACGGAAGCCCTGGATACATTGTACTGCCACCGCTAAGAACGATATGCTTATACAGTTCACTTCTGATATCAATATCAGCTGCTTGAATTGTACTAAATACTAGCTCTGCAATTCCCAGAGCTTCAACATTTATTAAACGCGGTTGGAATAATGCTTCTGGTGCTGAAAATCTTTCACCACCTACTTTTATTACTCGACCATCTGGAAGCTTAAAAGAACTATTAACAATGATGAACGAAAAAGTACAAATTCTGAATATTTGATGAGTAAAAAAAATTAAAATGTTGTATTTTACTATATAAATCATTATACTTACTGTATAAGATTCTACTAAAACAGTCGTTTCACGAGCTAATTTTTCTTCAGTTTCAATATTATATCCAATATAACATAATTTCTCTTTTAACATTCTTACTGTTTCAAAATCAGCAGAATGGTTGAAGGCATATCCACGTAATAAAAGTAATTTTATTAAATACATAGTAATGTCACGACCGGCAATATCTAATCGACGTGTTAAATGAGGCAAAGCATATTCTTCAAATACTGGACAAATATGTGTAACTCCATCACCAGAGTCTACCACAACACCACTAATCAATCCTTGAGCATACAATGTAAGTACAGCTTGTATTGCAATATATGTTCCAGCAAATCCATATTTTTCAAACATCACCTAAAAAAAGAAAAAAAAATGTATATATATATATAAAAGTTTTATCTAAATATAATTAAATAAGTAGTGAGCCTTGAAATAACAGAAGAAAAAAAATATATATATATATATACATATTAATATATATTTTACCTCGATCATTTTCTCTCTATTCGTGATAGGATTCATTGGTGGTTCAGTCAGCAAAATTTTACATTCTCTAGGATTAATGTTCATTTTTTCTTTTCCAAATGTATAATCCCAAACATGACACATGTCCTCCCAATTTCTAAAAAAGCATTACATTATTACATTGTTTAATTGAAGTTAAAAATGTGTTATATATATATATATATATATATATATATATATATATATATATATAATAAAATCTTTATACACACCTAACAATTCCATTTTGCATGGGATAACTAATTTCTAACATAGAACGAAGTTTACTTGCTTCATCTCCAACCATTAAGTCCTGTCATAATAATGCAATTATATATGATTAATAGTTTTCTCAATTAATAAGAGTATTAAAACTAAGATGCAAGGATCATTATTATTCTTGATATAAATAAAATTGAAAATTTGAGAGTATGAATGATCAAACATTGCACATATAGCACTTGTGGATGTTTGCTCACATATTATTGATATTTTATAATACAATATTCAGATTCAAACACTCATATAATCTTATTCATTTTTATATGCCTATAAATTGCCAATATAAGTTTATAACACTGATACTATTCTTAATATCCGATTAAGAATATTATTATATAAAATAAAAATTATTATAAATATTAAAGATATTTTTACAAATTTATTATGATTATAACATAGAAGAGAATTAAATGAATAATATAAATGGAATAAAAATTACTTAATTTGATTAAATTATGTTAAAATTTGAAGTATATAAGAAATTGTATTATTTCAATCGATTAGTTGACTATTAAAAACTACTTCTCCATTTATATTCTCTAAAAAAGAAACTATTATTTTAAAAATTATTTTATGATCAATCAATGAGAAATAGATGTACAAATTAGCATCAAAAATACATTAAACTTACAGGCATGTTAAGCACATCCTACGAGAGCAAATGTAAGCAGACAAACATATTAGATAATTTATCAAAAGCACAGTATATACAAACATACCCACGTACCAAAAATGGGCTAAAAAAAAAACCTATAACAAACATTTTCTATCTCTTCTTTCAATAAATGAAAACAAGCAAAAGACTTTTGATGGCATCGAATTGATTGATGCATAGACAATTACAATTTTGTTTTTGACAATGTCGAAGTATATTAAATATTATAATAATGATATAGATAATAATAATCTTACATTTGTGATATACATTCCTTTTTCAAAGTTTTGTTAATAAAAGTCAATTTTTGTTAATAAGTCAAACTCTTACATTTATATTTATGTCAGTAGAAAAATATAAATAAGCTTTTAAACAATCTCTATTCATTGAGCCACACAGGGTAACATTATAAATTGACTTACACGAACACAATATTCTTGCTGAAAATATAATTTTTATATTAATAACTTTACTTATTATTATATAAATATATTTTCCAAAACTTAATGATTAATTTTTCTATAGTATTACAAAAAAAAAAAAAAAAAAAAAGAATATTAATGTCTATTTGCTTGTAACTTTGTAAAGATAAATAATTAGAGACAATAGAATAACTAGTACTTTATAAAAATAATAGTACATTTATTCCATTAACATTGATATAAAAAGAAGAAATCTAGAATATGTTCTTATGTTTTACCATAATAATTGTTAATCAATTTATCATTTTAATTATATCTCCTTAAGGATAAATAGTGTCTATTGTTTTTAATATAGATAATATTTTTTTAATATAGATGAACAGAAAATAATAAAAGAAATAAGAAACGGAAAAAGGGAATAAATAAATTTATTATAATCGCTTCCAATAAAAGCTGATTATAAATCATACATATATATATATATATATATATATATATATAATTTTTTTTCTTTTATATTATGCAAGTTATTATAAACAATAATAAAATATGTACCTTCACGTCGATGTCTCCTATCTTATTAACAGCCCTTATGATTGGACGTCCAACTATCGAAGGAAATATATGTGCAGGAAAATTTGCTCCCGCATATCCGCATTTGACGAACTGAAAATAAATTAAATTAATAATAATAGATATTGAAACAAGTATATAGAAATAATTTATATTGAATTTTTCAAATGATATCTTAACACTTGACAAATAAGAAATACAAAGTAATCATATATTAATAACTATATATATATATATATATATATATATATATATATATATATATATATATATTGAAAAAGGTATTAAAAAAAGGGACTCCAAATAATCTATATTAGAATAATTTACATCGTTATATATATATATGCTTACCCCCGTTCCATTATCACAGACAATAATCTTTCTTCCTTTGCTATCCATTTTATCAAATAAGAGTCGTATATGTTTCGCAACTCTTCACTTTCTATATTCAAATTATATTTATATCACACATTCCGTGAAATGACTAATTCTTACAGTTTATAGGGCGTTACCGGCATGACAGTATACAGAAAGGAAATGTTATTACTATAGACACAAATTTGGTGATAAATTTAAACAACAATAATTAATAGCACTAGCAATTGAAACTTATCTTCGAGCAGGTGAAAATGTGATTCGATTAATTGGAGATTTTTATCTTATCATGAAATAACTCATCGGTCTTAAACACAATCTTAAGCTCATATTGGATTAATAATGTGCACCAATATTGCACTATCGTAAAATAGTTGATTCCTTTAAAGTTTCATTTACAATGTACGATCGCGTATGCACGCTTAAACGCCATTGGCTACATTTTCTTCATTTTCTAATCGAATCATTGGCGGGAAATTTCGTTGAAAATTGGAGCAATTTAAATTATAGATTACGGGACATTTTTATATATATATATTTTTGTTTAAATATCTCTTAGAATTTTAAATTGATTTTTATAAAATTTTCATAGCAATACATATTTCTTATATCATTGAAAACATATTTTTTTTCATTTCTCTCTCTTTTTTTCTTTTCTTTTTTTATTCTTTCATTAAAATTTTTAATTTAAATTTAATATATAACATATCTAAACTTTTGATAAAGTAATCTTCTATATTTCGCCGTAAAATTTTAATTGGTAATGATTTCGAATAACCATCCTTTACGAATGTAATAGATTTTATTAAAATGTTGTTACGACGATCTTCGTATTACATCGAATAGAATACTTTCAATAATTATCCTTGAGTTTTTCTAAGTAACCATTTTTTATGATTGAATGTTCATCAATATGGATTAATTTTTATTCTACGGTATTCCAGTTGTAAGCTTTTATAATACTATAATCGTATTCTAAGAGTCAACTAACAGTCAGCTATCAAGAAATTTATAAAAATGACTCATCCAATTGTTTATTTAACGAGAAAGGAATCAATATCTAGCTGTCATAGATTGCACAGGTACCAATAATTAATGTCTAAATGTATATGTGTATATATATATATATGTATTATATTATAAGGTTAACAACAGTTAATAGTAGATATATCGTTTTTATGAAGGTATTAATTTTTTTTTTTATCATTATAGTTATAATCTGAGCGATGAAGAAAATAAAATGATATATGGAAAATGTAACAATTTTTGGGGACATGGACATAATTATATTGGTAATTAAGATATAAACATAATAAATTAATTTTTTATTATATAATAATAAATTAAAAATTCTGAGCATTATTATAAAATTTTTAATTTATTGCAGTTGAAGTTACAGTCCGTGGACCATTAGATCCTATAACTGGTATGGTTATGAATATATCTGATTTAAAAAGGTACATGAAAAATGTATTAATGGATAGACTGGATCACAAAAATTTAGACAAAGATGTATATTATTTTAAAAATGTTGTATCGACCACTGAAAATTTAGCTATATATATTTATAATGAATTGAAAAAGGAATTGCCTAATCCAGATTTATTATATGAGGTAAAAATTCATGAGACCGATAATAATATTGTATATTATAGAGGAGAGTAAATAATATTTTTTTATGATAATACAAGGGACAAATAATATAACAATAATAAATAATATAAGGGACAAATATAATATAACAAAGAATTACTAATACTTCCATAAATAATGGAATATATGTTATCATATTTTTTTTCAGATAATTATATATTTTTATAAATTGTCTGTAATTATATATTTTTTATATCTCATAATTTTTATTATATTAAAATTTAACATACTTAATTTTTTTGGTTTATATATTTATTATAATCTTATTATAACACATGTATTATTTATATCATAAATTAATACATTGATACAAATCTTTATTTTATGTGTATATATATTCAAATATATATGCTTTTCCCTAGATTCTAAATACACAATCTTAGTATATACATATGTAAGTCCATATATATGTGTTTGTTATGCATATGTAGGATATACTTATATATAACTACAAAATATTTTGTTCTTTTCTTGCTCGAGAATATAATGTACTTTTAAAACATATAAAAACTTCCGATACTGTGGCCATGCAATTTTACAGAATACTGTATGATACATAATTAAATATCACCACATGTGTCAATATCATTACATGTATAAGTAAATTCCATTTACATATAAGACGTTCAGTTTGAGACATATATTTTAATTTACAAAATAAAAAACTATGCCATTTACAAAATAATTCTTCATACCTATTTAGGATCAATTATCAATTAATATATATAAAATTTTATAAATAATCGTAAATTATATATGATAAAAGAGAATTTAAATAAAATTTTATTTTCAATTAAATTTGTAATAACTAATCGTAAAAAATAATTTCAATGACAAATATATCATTTCTTATATACTGCTCGGTATAACAATCTTACATTTAGCTCAAATATATAAGAACATATCTTTTATAAAATAGATATACAAAATATCTTATTAAGCACATCATTGTTTCAGTTTATTCTTTAATCTACTATTACTTTATTAATTTAATAATAAATGCACATTATAGCTTTATAGATATTTATAATATTCTAAATTAATTATATGTTGCTATTTGTATCAATTTTAACATAACTTTTAATTGTCACATATGGTATACCAAGTTCAAAATCATCCCTTGGCCAATATCGAAGTGTAGGCGATTGTTGTGGTCTTTCTTCCTTGACAGAAAAATAAGCAAAGAGTACTGCTGCTGTATAGCTTGCTATAAAAATGAATAGATGCCACAAAGCATGAAGATATGGGAAATTTAAATTCAGCCAAGTATCGCAGAATAAACGATCATTTAACCAACATGTAACAGCTAATATCCATACAGCGCCACAACGGAGACCTAATCTATACACCCTCATTGATGTCGTTCTTGGGGAGTGGAAGAAAAAAGAAGTATAGACAATTAGAAAAAAGTATAGATAAAAAGAAGTAAGATAATTAAAATAAACTGAATATTAAATATAATAAAAAAGTATGAACAAATATCAAGTATACCTTTTTAATTCTATTATCATAAAACCAAATGCAGGTATACCAAGACTCATTAAAGCAAATGCATTTAGTGCTGGATGTACTAATGCTAAACCAGTAGCTATTAAAGTCGGAAACGTAGCAAACATTGAAAAACGTTTTCTGTCATTTCGAAAAACATTTGGAAAATATCTTCTTGGGAAAAACATACAAAAACCTGCCATGTATACCCATAATATGGCTAACTCATCCAAAAGCTGGCCTGTAATAATAACAATTAACATTTATTCCAATTGATATATACATATATATATTATCTATCTTATTAATTTTTATTGCACATTTTACCTATTAGAGATAAAGTTGCATGAAAATAGGCACTACTCAGGCCCACTATCATAAGTAGAAACCATATTACATGAATTCCTGGATTTACAAATCTTCCATAATCACGAAAAAGATGCATGAGTACAGGTGGAAGTAATAAAAAAACTACATTGCTTAACTGAAACAAAAAAGTTTTTATATCCTTTATGTGTGTGTGTATGTGTGTGTGTGTGTACATATATGAAATAATTCTTTTATGATAAAAATGACAAAGGAAATATATCATGATGAAATGAATCATCCTTTCTTTGACATAAAGGTCTATAAAACTTATATATGGACAAAGAAAATTATTATTATAATAATATATCTTATATAAATTATATCACCAACCGTATTCATAAATTCTGCAATGCTGGGTGATATACTATAATTTCCCTCACACCAATCTATTGGAGAACTTCCAGCTTCAAAAGGTTTCCACATGTTGATATTCCTTTGTTTCCAAATAATCCTCAGTTCAATTGTGCAGATTTATAATCATTTATATATTTACATTCTATATAGATAAAATTTGTTATATTTATATTTTATATATCGTATAGCTCTAAAAGATAAGATAAATAATATAAAGAATGAAATAATTGAACGTGATAATGAAATTTATTTTAATAAAATATCTACCTGACATAAAGAGATCACAAAACGCAAACTCCGACTGAGCCGCATAAGCGGAACTTAACACATTTATATATGGATACTATGTCGTAAGAATTCGACGAACAATAATATACAAAAGATTCAACATTTTATTTCTTTAATTATTATATTTATTTTAAAAATCATAAAGAAATTAATAACAATAACAATAGTGTTTAGAGTTTTGCGATAATGACAAGAACTGTCAAAACTATCGAACTTTATTTATATAATGTGTGTGTGTATGTGTTATATATTATATGATCTCTTTCGACAACTCTTTATTACATACACACATATGATAATCAACCAATGAGAGGTAAGAAACGATTTTCTTTTAAGTCTTATATACATGAAGGTGCATTGTAACAACGACATAACTTACATAGAAATAATTCTATATAGTCAATAGTCGAATAGTAGTCGGTCATAGTTGACTGTGAATTTGGATACGTTTAAACAACGCATAATGATATAAACGCATCGCCGTAAAGAAGGCAAGCAGTGTATTTTTTTTTGGAAATTTCTTCAATTATTAAAGTTTACGAAGATTCATTAAAAGATGTAAGTAATTTGTATCGATAAAAATCCATAAGAATTTAATTGAGAAAGTAAATTTTTGTTTTTGTTTTGTTCAAATAGGTTATATAGGTATTGCAAAACATAGTATGTTATATTGCAAAATATAGTATATATATGTCACGTGATAATATGTTTATTTATAATTTCATTTATTATTTAGGTCATCCTTAACAAAACCTAAGTCAGAAATGACACCAGAAGAATTAGCAAAGAGGGAAGAAGAAGAGTTTAATACCGGACCCCTTTCAGTACTAACTCAATCGGTAAAGAATAATACGCAAGTATTAATAAATTGTAGAAATAACAAAAAGTTACTCGGTAGAGTAAAGGCATTTGACAGACATTGTAATATGGTATTAGAGAATGTAAAAGAAATGTGGACCGAATTACCACGTACAGGCAAAGGAAAAAAGAAGGTAATTATTTTACATGTCACGTGTATTTTGTGATATCTATTAATTTCTTTGTATACTTAACATTTTTAGGCAAAACCAGTTAACAAGGATAGACTTATCACAAAAATGTTCCTCCGTGGAGACTCTGTCATTTTGGTTCTTAGAAATCCTTTGGCAACCGCCTCGGGCAAATAATTATTTAAGCATTACACAAATATATTAGATTTGGTAAAACAGAAAAATAAATGTTTTAATATAAATCACTCGGATATGATGTTTATTAAGTTACTGATAAACCTTATGTATCATTTTTTGACATACATTTATTCAGAATTTTATAAGTATTGAATAAAATCAATGAAGCCTTTTTAATGTATTTATTAAGAACCTTATGTAAAATCATCAATCTTTCTCAGCGATTGCTGTTAAATGCTTATCAATTTCTTGTTCTGTCAGTACACTATAAAAAAAAAAAAAAGAAAAACCACAGATTAATATTAAATTACATATTTTATATACTAGATTATTAAAATATATAATTACCGGAACTTAGGATTGTCTTTCGATACCACACCAACCTCAATCTCTGTTGGTTTAAAATCAACAGATAAAACCGTAGATAAACAAGTAATAGCTAATTGAATAGTTTCATCAAAATCGTAATTCTGTTTTTTCTTTAACTTTTTCTCTAGATAAGAATTAGCTTCTGTTTGTTTAGCGCCAACTGATATAGCTTTATATCCACAGAAATAACCAGCTGGATCAGCTTTATAAATACAAGGACCTTTTTCTCTATCATATGCAATAAGCATCATAGAACATCCCAATGGTCGCATTTCTGCATTTTGTGTATATACTTGACTGATGTCTGCAACACGCCGGCATAATGCATCTACGGGTATTTCATAACCATGTTTATATTTAAAATGAGCAGCTTCATATCTTGCTCGTTGTACTTGAGATTTACTATCCGCTGTAAAAAAAAAAAAAATATCAGTTAATTATAATCTTCTTATAAGAAGAATATAAAAAATATGAATAACTTACCTATCATGCCTGTCATAACACAACCAATATGTTCTGTAAGCTGGAATACATGAGTAACACTAGAAGCATCTAACAACTTATCCTGTAATAAAAAGTTATACAAACATAGAATGAATAATTGCTCAAAGCTGATCTCTCATTGAAAATTTTTCTTAAAGAGGTTATCTTACAGGTACTTTCTTTTGTGTTGCAAAAACTGCAGTATCTACACCTTTTACAGCAACCGATGTTAGACCTCCTTGATTAATGGCTTTAAATGCATATTCTGTAAAAAGAGAAATTCATAAAATAATTATTAAATAAGTTTGAAAAATTCGAATACGCCATGTCATGATACAGTAATGTGAAAACTTGAAAATTTATATTTTAACTTTTATGAAAAGCATAATAAATTTAATGTGTATCATTATATTAAATAAAATATTTTTTATGACTTACCTACTTGATAAAGCCGACCTTCTGGCGAAAAAATCGTAATGTGTCTATCAAAGCCTGCACTGCTGCCTCGCGCCATGTTGCTAATGACAAAATTTCATGGATATATTCAATGAAACGTCAACTCATGCTACCAATCGTTCGTTCTGATCAATTTACATCGAATATTTATTATAATAATTATTCTTTTTAATTCATATTGTAATACATAACTAAAACTATTATTATACATTTTATTATTAAACTTTTGATTTGTTATAATTTGGAATTTAATGTAACTTCTAATTTGATTTAATTTTTGTCCATTAACTGTGAGCGCAATGAGCGTTAGATATATTAAATTATCTTTGAGCAAAAACAGTTTTTTATTTTTTTTTTTTTTTAAGAAAATTGAAAATCCTAAAAAGTTGTAATTTTTTATATTTTATTTAAATTATTTTTTTTTTCCTTTGAAATTGTTTATTCATTTAAATCTATCGAATAATTTCAACTTTCATCTCTACTTTATAATTTGTCCAAATATAATCTATCGCAGGATATTATTTTACCACGAGAGTTTTGATTCTCAAGTAGATAATATTGGCGCGTTCTACGTAATTCGTTCAGTGTATTAAACCTAAAGCATTAGGACGGGTTAGTGTTACGAACAGTATATTAACATTTAATAAGCCGTTTATTTTTGAAGAATTTTTAATGCAATAAAATGTCGATTGAAAATGCAAATAATAAAAGTAATTCCATTGAAAGTGAAGATGTATCATCCCAAATGAAACAGGAACTTAAGGATAGAGCTGAAAGAAACAGACAGAAGGCATTATTGTTAAAAAATTCTAAACTTGTAGCTCATCCATATGCAAAAGGGTATGCTTTTAATAATTAATATTAATTTAATTTAATTTAATTTAATTTAATAATTATAATTAATTTTATATTATAAATATAAATTAATAGAATCAAACAATGGTTAATTAATCTTTACAATTGATGTTTCATTTCATTTAAATTTGAATTAATATTTTTTTTCTACATTATCTTTGTTTATTAAATGTGACCTTTACTTACTTCGTTGTTATTTTGTCTTTGTAAAGTGAAAATGATGAATCTTCCAAGGGTAGAGCAATAAAGGTTCAAGGAAAACGTGTTGTTGATAGTGGAGGTGGATTTCTTATAGAAGAAAATGACGAATTGGAACAACAAATGGTAAACAATTTATAAATTAATAATGATCTATAAATTTTTATTTTGTTCAGGATTTTCTATTCTTTTTTTTTTTACAATTACTCCGATTTAAAAATACATTGGAAATATCTTTGTTCTCTTTTTTTATTAGATAAACATCGTAACAGAACCTGCACCCTTTATCAGTTCATTACCTCATTGCAATGATTGTAATAAAGAATTTAAAGATTCTTATCTTCTTCAAACTTTTAATCTGGAAGTATGTGATGCATGCAGGTATGTAATATAACTAAATATTGAAATAAAAGATGTATTGTTATTATTATAAATATTTTAATCTTTTTTTTTTTATTTTTCTTTTTTTATTTTATTTTTTTTTTTTTAGGGATAGCGAGGACAAACATTCTCTGATCACCAAATCAGAAGCTAAACAAGAATATTTGTTAAGAGATTATGATTTTGATAAAAGAGAGCCAGCATTAAAGTATATCGTTAGAAAAAATCCTCATAATCCACGTTGGGGTGAAATGAAGTTATATTTACATTTACAAATAGAACAGAGAGCTTTAGAGGTTTGGGGCTCAGAAGAGAAATTGTTAGAAGAAAAAGAAAAACGTGATTTGAAGAAAGAGGAAACGAAAATAAAACATTTTAATAAAAAGGTAATTCTATTATAATAATACAAGACTTTTTTTTGCAAATTTATTTTAATTTAAGTGAAATATAAATAGTAATATTATATTAACGTTTACTTAATGTAGATTAAAAGACTGAGAATGCAAGTAAGAAGTTCTCTCTACAATAAAACGACAAAGGCCAATCACGTTCATGAATTTGGAGAGGAAATTTATAATGAGACTGATGATACATATTCCCATACATGTTTGTCATGTGGATATGACGAAATATATGAAAAAATGTAATGTATTACTTATGCTTTTATTATTAGGTCATTATTATACTATTATTTATATCGCATTAAGAAATATGGAAAAGAAACCAAAAATATCAATGGTATCAAACATTTTTATAAAAAAAAAAAATTAGTTCTAATATCATTTGTCCTGAAACGAGGAAATTACAAACATAAATAAATGAAAACATTAAAATCTTAAAATATATTTAGAAACATTATTATTTTTATATAGTAGTGTAGATTTTTACATTTTTTTATTTCGTACATAATTATTAACATACTATACATAATGTACATAATAATTAAATCGTTTTTTTGTTAAAATAACACAGCATTTAGTTACAGTAAATCTGTTTAATAATATATATTAAAAGTATAATTATATTCGACCTATTACAGTCTACACCTAGTGCAGTCTTTATTTGATAAAATTAAATCGAAATACCATTTACTTAAAAATATTGCACTAATATCTTCAAAATAAGAATTTCTATATATAAATTATTTATGTCTATATTCTTATTGTGATAAAAAAGAATAAAATATGAATTTTTCATATACATTTGTACATGTGAATTTATGAATATAATATAGAAGTATTTTATATTCATAAATTTCACAGATCATAATAAAAATCTAGACATAAAATAATACGATACTAAACAACAGAAAATAATTATACTTTAAGTAAACAATTTATGTACATTAGCGTATTTGCTTTTATCTTTAGGCTTATTTTTCTCTAAAAAAAGTTTTTTGATGTTCTATTGTCATGTTCATCTTTTATAGGAAGAAATATCTATATTTTAACATTGTATTTCTTTGGGAGACAAAAAATAATGTGATAGTTCATACAGTATTACCTTTTTTTCTTCATAATCACATTAAAAGGTATACCATAAATATTACTAAAACTTACTTTAATATTCTGAACACTGTTTTGGTAAAGGTAGTGATATACTTGGTACTGATAGTTTTTCTTCTTTAGTACTTTGCACAATGCTCATTGGATTACTTACTGTTGTCGATGATCTGAAATCAAAATTATTTCTTAAATTATAGTATAGCAAATATTATCATGAAATTTAAATAACATACCTGTTATGCCTAAGATGACTTTTGACTAAATGTCCAGCTGTTAGAGCAGCCAATAGAGATAATTCTCCTGCAAGCACTGTAGCACAAACTATCCTTGCTAATCTACTGGCATTTTCACCAGGTTGTTCTATATTTGCTCCTTTTACACCTAACATAGCTAAACACGCACTTTGTGCTGGAAGTCCTGTTCCACCTCCCACGGTACCTATTTCAATACTTGGCATTGTGCAAGAGATATATAAATCTGTACCATCTGGTCCCGATGGTTCCATCAGTGTCATGCAATTGCTACTGGTCACATTTTGTGCAGGATCTTGTCCAGTAGCTATAAAAATGGCAGTCACTATATTCGCGGCATGAGCATTAAATCCTCCTATGCTACCCGCTATTGCTGATCCTATCAAATTTTTGCTTATATTGACATCCACTAATGCATGAACAGATGTCTTTAGTATATTTGTCACTATTTCTGATGGCACCACTGCTTCACAAACTACACTTTTACCTCTACCTTCAATCCAATTTACAGCGGCTGATTTTTTGTCTGTACAGAAATTACCACTGAGAGATAAAACTTCCATATCAGGGAAATATGATTGCACTGTCTGTAGAGATTTTTCTGTTCCCTTTGAAAGCATGTTCATTCCCATAGCATCGCCAGTTTTGGCTACGAAGCGAATAAATAAATGTCTTCCTGCATTTCGTACATTAATTTTAATCAATCTAGCAAATCTGCTAGTTTGATCAAAACTAACTTTCATTTTTTGAAAGTTTTCTTGAGTTTGCATCCATGACATGGCTTCGCTTGCTCTAACGATATTCGGAAAGCGAACAACCGGTCCTCTTGTCATACCATCTGCTAATAGACGGCTTGTTACTCCGCATTTTAATAATGCTCTACTACCACGATTAGTAGATGCCACTAAACAACCTTCGGTCGTAGCCATAGGAACGTGAAAATATTCTCCATCGATTAATAAAGGTCCGGCAATGCCAACAGGTACTGGTACATAACCAATAACATTTTCACAACAGGATCCTAGTACTTTTGAGTAGTCATAGTTTTTAAATGGTATTTCCAGTAAATCATCAGTAAAATTTCCAGTAGTGCTTAATAAGAGTCGTCTGATACCGACACTTCTTTCCATATCTCCAACAGCTTTTTCCAATTGATATGCAGGTATATATTTATTTTGTACTAAATTAATGATCTCTGTATCCGTTAGTGCGTTTGTTCCAAGCTAGAAATAAATAAGGAATATCGTTTTACAATAATATTTATTAATAATTAACAAAGAAATACATTTTACTTACTTCAGATCGATAAATTTCAAGACACTCTTCTAAATTTCTTGGTTCAATATGCTGATGTGATGAATCTTTATTACTTGATGTATCCGTAGAATTCATTTTTTCATCAGTTTGTATTTCTTTATCAACAAGTTCTACGTTATGCTCATTTATTACTTCTATCCAATCATTATTTATTTCGGATAATGGAAAGACTGATCGTTGATTAGACATTATACCTTCGAACCGTCGTCTTAATGAAATATCCATCTTTTCTGTAGTAATAGTTTCTGATTCAATTATGTTCTCTGTATTATCTTCTTGGAATCTCAATTGTTTTGCTATGTCTCCTTTATCTTCAAAGAAAATGAATTTAATGGCCAATGCCAGAAGTAGAATTAATATAACTATATTTTCCGCACTAACTGATAACCAATTCATTAAATATTCTTTAATCTCTGAATGTTTCTCTGTTTCGTTATATGCGTTTACTACAATTTGTGAAATGGTTGGAATTGCACCTTCCACTGTATGCTCACTTCCACTACTTTTAAATGGCCAACGGCTGCAACCAAAGAATGATGAAATATAGAATACAAATATAACAATGAAAAATATAGATATCTACATTTAAATACTACATTAGTATATTCAATTACAAATTGGATGTTCACAATAAGATACTTTGTTTATATATAGGATGTTCTTCCATCAACGTTTTTTCTTAAACTGAAGTAGACTTAAAGAGACGATAGTAACGTGACAAAAGATACTAGAACTATGTGATATTTATTTTTAAACTCTCATTTTACTCTGTATAGAATGCTAATACATTTCTCATGTAATATTTAAACTCACTATGGATCGACATTATATTTATATATATTATTTATCGATATGACTTTTATCTGATGTTATTTTTATCATTTTTTCTTTTTTTAAAAAAGAAGAAAATCATAAGATTTACGGCGTATTTTTGTATTGAAATCTGTAAATATTTGTAAAACCGACTGTAAAAAAATCTTGTGTATAGAATACGGAAGTTTAAACTTAAAGAGTTAAAATATATATATATATATATATTATATATATATATATATTTTAACTTTTATATATATATAGTTATTCACACTAGATTGTAAAATCCCGCGAAATATGTAGAAATGTTCGAAATATATCATATTTCACAATGACGTTAAACCATTCATTGAATATGAACTAGATGTATACCTATGTCAGTGTCACAATGTGAACCTGACCCGTTAAATTTAAGAATAAATATTGCTACACAATTGCAAACGTAGAAATGTGTGTAGCAAAGGTTAGAGATGGCCGCGATAACTTTTTTCCTTTCTTAGAATTTTATAGAGAGCTTACTGTGTTATATTCTGAAAGATTGCGATGTATGAAAGATAGATTATTTTCAAGTTAGAAGGAAATTTATTGTTAAAATACCTGTTTGCATGAACCACGGATAAACCAGCAATCATAATTAATTTAACACGTTCTACTACAGGATTTGGTTTTTGTTCCTCTTCGTTTATAGAATACATCATAAAAATCTTATCTGCAGTTAATGGACCCATAGTGTGACTTCCCCGAGAAAGCTGCGGCAAATGTGAAATGTTAAACACGCGCTTGACATAAATATAATAATGAACAAGTTTTTTTTTTGTCTTTTTTTTCTCTTTTTTCTTTTTTTTTTTCTTTTTTTTTTTTTTCTTATTCATATAATTACCTCGAGAATGAGTGATAAGCACGCGGGATAGAATGTCAAGAACACAACGTAATTTACAATTGCACCAAGACATGCAAAACTGCAGAGTGTCTCTAATCGTTTAAACCCTGATAAAGAGCCTATTCCAATGAGAAGTGTTTCGACTAGAGTATCCAATGTTATGGTTGGACCCAAAAGAGACATACCGCGTGCAATATTAGTGCGTACTTCTTCTTGATTTCTTGAACTTAATGCGAATTGTGCTAATATAGCAGCTTTCGAAAGATCAATCAATAATAAGAAAAAGAAGAGTGCATCCCTATAAATAAAAAAATTTTTGCATAAAGAATTAAATCGACTACCTTAACTGAAATATATTTTCTTATTCCCATCATTACGAAATACTTGGTATATAAAATATATGAGGTATAACAATTTAGAGAATTGTGATGTCAAAAAAAAAAAAAAACAATAACAAAATAAATCTAAATGATTTGTTTATTACGATAATGTATTTGATTTTATGATATAAATAACTTACTTTAGATCGAAGATGCTGCGACCAAAATTTACAATACTAGATGTAAATATAACGCTTGAAAAAATTATAAATAAGCCAGCGATACCTGCACATAAAAAAGTTATTAATAAAACTTTAATATCTATATTTATTTATTCATATGGAATATTATAAATAAAGATTTATGTTATAAAATTGTCGTTTACATTTAATCTTTAATATGCATAAAAGTGAAACTTTATAAATAATATCGAATTTTCATTATAAATGTATTTACCTAATATATATTTTGAACCGAGTTTCTGAAGATTTCGAAATTGATGATATGTAAAAAGGATTGCGAGACATCTTATTATAGTCATTACTATTATTTCCACAGCGTTCAAATCCTAATCGATCAAAAATACATTTTATTGAAAAAAAAAAAAATATATATATATATATAACTATTAATTTTTGAAATATTATTTACTTACGTCAGGGTTACATCGACCATGCCGACAATTTACTGTTACTGGTAAAACATCAGCATCGTGAGTTTGTCCATTTCCAGTATCCATATTCAACATACAAGCTGTTAGAGTCAATGTTGTTACAATCACTTCTAATGGATGACTAGCACAAAATCTGCCATGTACTTCAAAGAGTTTTGCTAACATTTTGCCCAATTTTCTTTTTCTTTTTTCCTTCCAATATCCAAATCTATAAAATATATTTTCAGAATAAAAATTAAGCATTTGAAAGCATTTTACTCGAAATAAAAAACAGAAAAAAATAGAAAAATTACGTCAATTCTCGAGTAAGAAAAGAAAAAAGCGTAAAGAAATAAAAGGGGAATACAACGTAAAAATAAATATAATAATTAAAAAATAAAAATGGAAGGTCGAGAATATAATTAATATTGATATATTATTTTGATAATTATAATAATTAAATTTAAAATAATTAAAATATAATAATTAAAAAATAAAAATGGAAGGTCGAAAATATAATTAATATTGATATATTATTTTGATCTATTACATTATGTAATATTGCATTTACGAATGGATTGTTTTATTTTATGAATAATAAATTTTACGAATAATAAATTTTATGAATAATAAATGAGTAATAAGCGAAAAAATATTTGAAAATTATGTGTAATAAACTGAAACAGAAAAGGAAAAAATAAAGTTAGGACAAGCAAGTTTTTAAAGAGAATGTTTTCTTAATTTAATTTTCTTAGTATAATATACGAAATAAAAAAAAAAGGAATAAAGTAAAAAATGATAAAATTTTCTAATTGATATTGATTAATGAATGGAAATCAAATGACATTGATTATCAAAAGAAATTATTTATCTTTAATGAATGCATTATTAATTATCTGTTTTATAACATAATGAATAATGATAAATATTCTACTAATTTTTCTTTTCAATTATTCACAAAAATAAAAGGAAAAGAGAAAAAAATAATATTTTATAATAAATAATCGCACAAGAACAGTATCGATCTAGAATTTTATCATTCATTATTTTCTTACGTATAACTAGAAAAAAAGAAATACACGTCTGTTGAGATTGGTGACTTTCAAATAGTTAATAAAATAACTCTTAAGATAAGAATTTGTACATAACTAATTAATTAATTATCTTTTTTCATGATTAATACGTTCCGTGCCATATGTACCACCGGTGGTACACGTTAAACTTGATCTTTAAATGGTTTGGCACGAAAAATGTTAATGATGAATATTTAATAATATTTGCTAAAATAAATTTAATTCAAAAGTTCACTAATTAAGTTGACACAACTGTTTCGAAATTTATAAATATGTTTTTTTTGACTGTTTATAAATAAGTAAGAATAAATTATAAAACATAGAGTTTAGCTATAAACGTAGAAATTAGCATGGAAATCTTATTACTATTAAATTTTATATCTATATAGTATATATATTAGTAATAGTATATATATATATATATATATATATATATATATATATATATACTAAATTTGATTGCATGATACTAAATTTACATTTACAACTATGTTTACATGAATATTAAAAAAAGAAAAAAAAATAAGGAAATAAAAAGAGCAATTTAATTTTTTAACCCTTAAAAACGCGTAATTCAATGAAAGCAATAATATTAAAAAAGAAAATTACACTACATCTGGCGTAATTGCGTTAAACCGCAAAACCGCATGAATCTCTTATACGTATATAAATTATTTTCGAGAATTACGTTTTCTTTTTCAAAATACAGGCAGCTATTATATATTTATATATATATATATATATATATATATATATATATATATATATAAAATACAAATAGTATATTTTTACACTTTCTTTGACATTCACCTTTCACACAAATTCAAATGTTGCAATGCCTGCAATTGAATGTCGGACTCACTCTCACTCTTACCCTCCCCCCCCCTCTCTCTCTCTCGTTCACTCTCACACTTTATCTTTTTTCCTTTTATACACACTTTTCCATCTAACGTTTCTCCTTCGAACGCTTACGAGAGCAAGTCGGGAGAGAATGAGATCGTTTTTTAGCTGAAGCGATTTTTTGAACTTGAACGGATCATAGAAGTATAATAAAAACAGACTTTCGATCGTGTGTTCCACTTTTATGCATGACCTCGTGAACAAACGACGTTTATTTTCATCAATTTTCTTGTTATAAACAGATCTGATCAAAGAAAATAATTATTTTCTAATAAAAACGTTACTCATATGCGATTCAAAGGAAAAAAAAAAAAAAAAAAAAAAAAAAGAGGAGAAAAAACCTCTCGACTTTTCTATGATGAGATGCATATACAGAATGTCATGTAAATCATGATATAAGCGACCGATTGATGATTTTACAAGGAGAGATAATTCAAAAAAGCAAAAAAGAAAAAAAAAAAGATAGAGAGAGGAAAAAAGAATAATATTTTTTTTCATTTAAAACTTCGTTTCCGAGAAAAATAAGTTTGAAGATTAGTCGGGTACACGTATATTAATTATCAGTTTTTATTCATGTTGCTTTCTATTTCTCCACTTTTTTTTTTTCGAAGATTTCTTAATAGAATTATTATAGGAATACGTATAAAATATATTAATACGTAATTGCGGAAATACGACAACAGTAATAATATAATCAAATTCATCGTTCTCAAAAATGAAATGTTAAACAAATATATATTATTCTTTTCTTAAAATTTATTTTTGCAGGTAAAATCACTATCTAACGTCGCAAATATCATGCTTTTGACAACACTTTTTATAGATATGCATACACACACATATATATATATATATATATATAGATAGATAGATAAATAGATAGATAGATAGATAGATAGATAGATAGATAAATACATATATGTACATAAGAAATAATAACACCAAAATTTTGATTTAATTCCCTCCAATATATGTTTTAAGATAACTTTTCAAGGAATAAACTGTTTCGTAGAAGTTCAAAGTTGGCTCATGTGTATGATATGATATATATATATTCTCTCTTCCTCTATATGATACACATACGTCACATACTAACGTACCAGTTTCGTCCACTTTACTGCTGACGAAGATGACAAGACGTCCACCTCTCAAGAAAACTAACAGAAACCTCGATCTTTTTGTCTTCTTTTTTGTCTTGCTATCTTCTCTGTCCCTTTCTTTTATATCTTTTTCGAATGAAAATTGAAAAAAATTCACGATGATTTTTACGTAAAATCCCGTTAAACGATGGATGTCAAAGAGCGCGCGAAAACTCACGTGCCGGAGTATCTCGTAGACTCCTCGTCAAATTCTTACTTTCGTCGAAAGTGACAGAGAAGCGATCTCGAGGGGAAAGAAGGGAGTAAGAGGTAGAACTAACAAACGCAATCGGATAGAAAGTGGCAAGGTGAAACCGTAAGACGACACTACACGCTCGAAGAGAACCGAAAGTCTTTTTCGAATGAACATGAATTCGTAAGAAACGCGGTCGCAAACAACGACGACGACAACGACGGGGATGATCTATAACTCAACAAATTAAAAGGCACGAAGACGAAGACGAGGACGAAGACGAAGACGACGATCAACGGACAACGTCTGCACTCGAGCCAACGAACAGAAATGAACTTATACTGCCCATCGCATCGAGGTCTCCTTCATTGATTCTCTTTTCTTCTCTTTCTGATCCTCCCCACCATTTAAAATACAAAGACCAAACGGAACGTTTGATATTCGGGGATATACATAAAAGTTGTTGCCAGTATTTATTTACATTTTTTTTTTTTTTTTTTTTTTTTTTTTTTTTTTTTTTTTTTTTCTTTTTTTTTTTTTACAGTGAAATTCATACAATAATTAAATCAATCGTTTATGTCTCTTCTATTTCTGGCTTTATTATTATATTAACAAAATTTAAATGTTTGAGATAATTCTTAACCGTTGGCCATCAAAGTATATTGATAAGTCATTTAAATTAACATTATGAAATAAATAGAATCAAAATTTTGTAAATATATTATATCGATATAATTATATACATTAAATATAATTTACTAGATATAACTATTAACTTATCGGAAAAAAAAGAAAAAAAAGAAAAAAAAAAAAAACAAGGTTAATGTTTATTGAAAAAATATGTATTTAAATTACAAATTTATTCTTATATATTATTACCTACTTTTGAATTTCAAACTTATTATCTTAGTTGGGGTTGGTCTTTTATGATAGATCCGATAATACATTATCGGCAAAAAACAAATATAAAAAGCAAAATAAGTAAAATTAAAATAAGAAAAAATGAAGGAGCCGTTTTTCTTGTCGATAAGATTGAATACCTTCTTTCTTATCGTGAATTAATTATCACAGATGAATAAATTTAAAAATAGATTTTATAATAAAAACTTTTAGTAATGACACATTTTTGGAGATAGTCTTGTCATTTTCTTTTTTTCCTGTTTTTTCTTTTGTTAATATAATCAAACATAGATGTTATAATTGTACAACGAGTGAAAAGTGAATTTGTGTTAATATATTTTAATTATCAAACATGCATAAAATTTCCTAATCGATAGTAAATGCAATTGATAAGTATGTTACAATACTATCTCGTTAGAGTTAATAGCGAAAATGAAACTTACGCAACTAACAGGACGCGTTTGCCATTAAGAAAGAAAGGGAAAAAAAAAGAAAAAAAAAAAAGAGTAAAAAAAAGAAAAGAAAAAAAAAAGAAAAAAAGAAAAGGAAAAGGAAGAATGTAGTTAAGCGATAGTTTACTATGATTTTTTTATTTGCTAATGATCCAAAAGAAAAAAAAAAAAAAAAGAAAAAAAAAGAAATGTATGTGAAGGCCATCATATAATATCCTTTCTCTTTGTATTTATTCTTCGTGAAAATTATTGTTTGATTCATAATCAATGATACAAAACGTTAGACGTAAAAAATTTAATTACGCCCTATTCAATTTCGTCAAAAATATTTTATAGCAAATAAAAAGAAATTTCTCTTTCTAAGATATATAATATATCGCGCGTCTGTCTGTGTGTGTGTGTGTGTGTATGTCCTTAGAAATACATCCGAAAGTTTTTCTCGCGCTTTCTCTCTCTTAAATCAAGTTCACGGTCTAAAGAAGATTAGAAACGGACGTAACTATTTCCCAAACACAGAGAATATTTCAAAATAACTCCTTCGTTCTCTCCATCCTATCTTTTCGAGAAAACCAAAATAAGAGCTTTGTCGTCGTTCTAAGATATTCTAAATTCATCCGAAATGTTTATCCTAAGCGCTTACGTACGTGGTTTCTGTGCTTTTGTATGGAAAGCAAAGATCTGGATGGAAAGAGAAACGATGAAAGAGAAGAAAAGAACGATGAAAGTAACGAAATCCATAATCGAAGATTACGTAATCATGAAAATATATACTGATTAAACATTTACTGCGAAATAAACGAACATTTATCTTTTTGAAAAACCATATGATCCAAGAAGACACTATCAAATATATTTAAATAAATTATACGTTAACCTTCCCTATTATTTAATAATTTTGTTCTGTCGAAAAAAAAAAAAAAAAAAAACAGAAAAAAATAAAAAATTCACTCATTCGAAAGTTATAATAGAATCATTAATATTGGTATAATTAAATACATTAATTAGTCTTTTTTCACGACTTTTTAAGGTATTTTTTTTCTTTTTTCTTTTTTTTTCAGATTGTAAAACTACAAGCTAAACTTGTACAACTATATTACTAAGTTTATCATAATCTGAGGAAAAAGAAAAGAAAGAAGTCTCGAAAAGTCGATCTTTAAAATTATTTAAAAACAATAAATCCGTTCTGTATACGTATAATATTTAATCTATTATATGTAACTATATATTTATTCATATAAATGTATAACGTCAGAATAATATAACGTCAGAATAATATGACGTTATAGAGAGTTAACGAATAATTTATCATTTTCTTGATAACAATTATAATATTAAATCTACTGTACGTAACTATATATTTATTCATATAAATGTATGACGTCAGAATAATATGACGTTACAGAGGGTTAACGAATAATACATCATTTTCTTGATAACGATTACGTCTGGGATTATAAATAAAGTTGATATAATTTCTCGTTAATAGATCAAATAACCCAATTTAAAGTTTCAAATGAATTTTATAATTAGATTAAATTATTTTTTCCTTTAAGGGATATCCAATGCGTTGTATCAATATGTCTGTTACATTTTTATCTTCTTTGAGATAAGATATATATTTTATGAAGAAAAATATAACTGAATTATATTTACAATTAAAATAGGAATTCTACTTAATTTTCTAAAACTAGAAAAATTTCTAAAACTAGAATTAGAGTTACGAAAAAATATCACATTGGTATATTTCAAGATACAACATCGTTATTATGAAAGAAACTATATCGACAAAAAAATAGATTATATCGTTAATAATTAATGAAATAGAATTTTCTTAATGATTATATATCGAATGTTGATTTTATTTAAATGTATGAGTCAAGAATGATAAAAGAGACTAAAGAAAAATCAATACGAAGGGGAAAAACGAAATATGTGACTTATGTTGAGAGACGACGAATATAGTTAGAATGGCGATATACATTAGATCGTTTGAAAAGGAAACTTCCAAAATGTCTATACGTTTGAACGAGACTGATGACCACGATAAAATTTGAGTAGAATCTTTTTTTATCTCTTTCTTTCTTTCATTTCTTGTCTCTCTCTCTCTCTCTCTCTCTCTCTCTTTTTATTTTGGGTACACCTTTATCGAAGTAAGCTGACTTTTCCCGGAACTATTTGAAATACAAGGAAGGTTACTCCATGCTTCGAGTCATGCATCTTTATCATTCTAATCGTTATTATAATAGTTTATTCTTTCTCAATCGAATCGTCGTTATTCAACGTTATATTACGTGATTGTAATTTCAAGTAACGTTAAATAATTCTTTAGTAAAAGAAAGCAGCTAACTATGTGCTAGATATGACGAATATACAAATGAATTTCTCTTCTATGTTCGATATATTTTTGAGATATATGTATAAAAGAAAATAAATTTTTAAAAAGATTAAAAACTTATTGAATAAATTAATAAATTTTAAAAATTATCACACATATAAATTTTTCACTTTCTTCGGACGATCCCTTATAAATTTAAATTATGGTATATTTATCATATTAATATAAATTAAAGGAATTTTTATTTGAGGAAATATTTGCAATCTCATTAAGATCCATTAGTCATTAATACAAATTCATTTGCATTTTTGGCCAAACCTTAAAGAAATTTCTTTGTAAGAAATTAATTTAAAATCAAAGCGCGCGCAAAAACGTGTGACGTATTATACGTAGATAGGTTTTATCTGTAGTTGCTCTCAAAAAACGTGAACGTCATACATTAAACCCTCGAACAATATTATAAATAGAACTAATATAAAAATAATCATCGATTCATATGAATTAATTGCCCCCAAAGCAGATAAACAGTTATGATTCACGTAAATGTTCAACCGAGAAAGATAAGATGCAAACTTTATTGCAATTAATAAATATATATACTTACTAAGTTTTTTTGATATACATATAAAATGACGTCGATGAGATATTGAGAAACAAGCACATGAAATAGTTACTTTAGTAAGACTACTTTTTCTTCCGCTCAAATGTTTAATTAACTACAATTTTGTCAACATCACGTATATATATGTTTTTACCTTGAGGAAACTATTTTATTATCAGTTAATATTTGTTAAACTTATCTACAATGTTTTTAAGTATATAGTTTCCTATTACAATTAAATGTAATTTTGCATTATCTTATTTAAAAAGAAAAAACCTACGTCATATGATTATCTTCGTTATGTAATAATCATCTACATACAGCTCACTGATTAGCTTTTTTATAACATTTATTTATTATTATTATTCATCCATAATGTAATTCATTTTCCTACAAGTTATCTTTTCTTATTCATTATATCATGTATATCTCAAATATGTTTAATTGTATGAAATAAAAGGTATTTTTTCATATATATTGTTTATATTATCAAAACAGTAATGATAAAATTAGTAATGATAAAATTATTAATTTTATCAATTCTTTTATTAAATCTATCAGTTATTTTATCATTCAATGATATTGCTCAATTTCTATGATTACACTTTTATGAGTTATCTAATTAATTTATTATTCTTAAATATTTAAGAAATCTATAAATGAATGTTAGTGTTGTAACTAATAATAAAAAAGATTTAAAAATTTCATACTTTAATATAATATATGTACCACAAATATGGAATATAATATTGACCAAAAGGAAAAATTTGTATGTATCACAAGTGTAGCGTATAAAATTAGCGACAAAAATAATCTATGTGCATGCAATTTTTACACATTGCTCATATAATTATTATAACATTTTTTATATATAAATCATCATTTTGTCAAAGATAATATCCATTCTATGAAAATAAGATAAGTTTAAAATTGTATAAAATATCTTCATATGGGTATTGTAGTATTAATATTTCCACCATATACATAACAATACTTCGAATAACTTTATAATTGCAAAAAAAAAAACAAAAAATTCAAATGATAATCGAATTGTTGTCATGATTAGTTTTCTGATGAAAGTGTTAAAACACGAGGAAAAATATTTCTGTATAAACTATATAATATTAACAAAATTTTAATTTTCAGTAACACTCTTACCGTTTTCTTTCGACGTATATCACTCAGCCAATCAAAGTAATATCGTCAAATAAATATCGATAAAATTACTTCTTTATATTTTTTTCCTCTACGTTAACCATTTTATGCCTACAACACGAAGACGCCTAATCGAAACGTTGGAACTCGTAAAAATTGAATAATAGTGTCATGTAGCACCTCTGGCGATTGCATGATGTACTAATATTTCACTACGCCTTCCCAATTGTTAAAGAAAATATTTCAAATTGTTATTTACTTTATTCATTGTTACAAGATATTAATCATGTAATACATATATCCCTTATATTTAATTTACAAAACAATATCATTTTACAAATTATAACAAATGATATAATTGATCGTTTATTTATTTTTAATAAAATATGAAAATGTTAATATCGAATAAATCAGAAAAAGGTATCTGAAATTAAAATTATTGCATAGACATCTTATCATATGTCGATGTGGATGATTAAAAGAGCTCTATCTGTACAGTGTAATAGTAAACTAATGTAAGAAAGTTAGCGCGCGTTTTCTGTAAAGTTTGGCGGCCCTGATGAGAGTACAGACGAATATTATACCGGCATCATTAATCTAACCTTATCTTGAGACGTCATGACAATGACTTCATTCTAATTTATTGATTTTTTCTTATAAACAACGATAAATAGAATTCAAACGACCAAGAAAAATAAAATTCTCTATATTTGACGCTATTAATTCCATATAAAAATGGTAAGTTCGAATTTAAATTTATAAATATTTGAAAGCACATAAAAAAAAAACCAAATATTATAATATATAAAATAATATATATATAATATATATCTTTTAGTTGTTCTACTCATTTTTCAAATCCTTAATTGGAAAAGATGTAGTCGTGGAATTAAAAAATGATCTCAGGTAATGTTTATTCCAATTTTTCTTTTTGTCTAACAACAACAACAAGAACAACAATATACAACGTAGATATACATTTGCAGCATTTGCGGTACTTTACATTCTGTGGACCAATATCTTAATATAAAATTGACCGATATAAGTGTAACAGATCCAGATAAATATCCTCATATGGTATGTAATATTAATTAATGATATTTCATTTCAATTGTTTTTAAATGATAATATTCATTTTTATTTTTTAATTTTTTTTTTTAATGATCATATTTATTGTAACAATGTGTTACATTTCAGCTATCAGTAAAGAACTGCTTTATTCGTGGATCAGTAGTACGATACGTACAACTTCCTGGAGATGAAGTGGATACACAGCTTTTGCAAGATGCAGCCCGTAAAGAAGCAGCAGTTCAAACAAGATGACATGTTTTTCTTTTGAAATATCTTATTATTTCATTGATTCATTTTATACAAACTATATTAAAGATATCAATTAATTTAAAAATATAAACACATGGTTATTGCATATGTTTAAGTTCTCTCCATATATATTATCTTTACATGTACAAAAGCAGGTTTAAAAGAGATATTTAAAAATGTTATTTTTACAAGTATAAATTTATTCAAAGAAGTATGCTAAACATTTTATTAAACATCATTCTTTATTCTTGTTTTTTTTTTTCTTTTTGTACTATGAATTACTTGATAATACAATATCTCATGAAAAATATAAGCATTATATTTGTAACAATGCATAAAGATTCATGTTCATTTTATCATTTATATATAGTTCTGTTTTCTTGCATTGAAATGACAGTGCAATTATGTAGTATTATATGTTAAAGTATTTTATTTCCATTCTGATAGAGTTTTGTCATACCAGATATATTTTCCCTTTATTTCAGTATTATTCGGTAGCAATGCACAATAAATTGGGGCTACAGCACCTTCATCGGGTGTAAGAGGCCCTTTATGACTGGTCATATCGGTATCCACATAACCAGGATGTACAGCATTTACTACTATATCTTCTCGTGGATCATTATTAAATTTAGCCTGATGTATTACAGCTAAAGCAGAAACACCTATTTTACTGGCCACATAAGCAGAATTGGACCAACCATTTTGTAAATGAATATTCTTTTTCGCATCACTAAAAGGTATATTAATTACATATATGTGTGTGTAGTAAGAAAGCATTATTAAAATATAATTTAAAAAAATGTAAGCAACCATTCTTAACTTACTCAACAAATTTATGCATAATGTTATCCAATTCCTCTTCCGTTAAATTTGGGTTAGATATTTTTTCTTTTAATGATTCACCAGAAATATTTATTAAACGACCAGAACTACTGGACAAATGTACAACGCGACTATGTGGTCTAAGTAGCGGATAAAGTTTCTCACATATTTTTCTCAAACTGAAGTAATTTACCTTCAGAGTTTCTTCTGCTTGATAACCAAAAGGTTCGGTTGCATCTGTCTATGTATATATATACATATATATATATATATACTAATGGTTATTGTAAAATTCTGTTTAGAAAAAAAAAGATAAAAAAAAAAAAAAATAAAATAAAAAAAAAAAAAAAAAGAAAAGAAAGCAGTTTAAAAAAAATCATTTTTACCTGGAAAGAAATTGCTGCATTATTGATCAATACATCAAGTCCATTATATGTTTTTTGTAAATAATCGCGAAAAGTATTGATACTGTTTTCATCAGTAATGTCGAGTTGATGAAATTTTACTTTCAATCCTTCTCCTTCTAATTTTTTGACAGCATTTAAACCACGCTGAGTATCACGAGCAGTGAGATAAATAATACCATCAAATTGTTTACAAAGCCCTTTGACAATGGCTAAACCAATGCCCTTGTTTCCTCCAGTCACCTAAAATATATAAATCCATATATTATGGAGAATAATTTGTAAGAAACGTAGAATGTATTATATTTGAATATTTATATACGTACTATAGCGATACGTTCCATGTTGTATCTAAATCGATTATAAAATGCAATTTATCGAAGTACAGATATAACTTCGTAGTTCAGAGTTATGTAAATAAAGTTAACGATGATAATTTTTTTTTTTAAACAGACTAGATCAAAATATTTTTGCGATAAAAAGGAGGAAAAATTATGGAAAAATTATTTATGTAAATACAAGATTTTTTAAATCGATATTATTTAAAAATAACTTGTTGATTCATACAATGGCGGAATATCACTTTTTTTTTTGATGATTAGATAACAATACTTTTTGTATTAAAAAAAAAGAAGAGAAAATTTTTATTGCCTTAAAAATATTTCAATAAATTTCTTTTAATAATTAATTAATTAAATAATATTTCTAAACGAGCTGCCCTATATTGTCTTGACCGATTATTCCTAATAAGAACAATATTACTTTCTCTGGCAATCATTGCAATCACAGATTGTATCGTAACATAACCTATTCCAATGCCTTTAGCCTCGCTAAAAGAAAAATTTCCTAATGTTATATATCCCATTATTTCTCTTTTACATGAATTTCGTACTTCTGTACAATCCGGTAAATAAAGTTTAGACATTTTGTATGAATGTTCCAATACTACTTTACGACTTTTTTTCAATAAGTTCTGCCTTAAATTTCTTATTTCAATGTTATAATTTACTTTGTTTGCATTTTCTTCAAATGCATCACTTATTGTCTTTTCCAATGCTTTTTTATGACGTATTCTTTGTCTTCTATATCGTTTTAACAATAACAAATGATTCTTTCGTAACATTTTTCGCAGACTTTCATTTGGATCTTTATTTATTTTTTCTACTGGTCCTGACCAACGTTTATCATGTTTCAATCTCTCTAAATCTTCATCTGTTGGTGCACATATTATAGCAAACATTTTTGGATTGCCCTTATTTAAAATAGATATTCTAACGCGTATTAAACAATTTTCATTATTTAATGCATTATCCAAAGTAATCTTAGAAGCAGGAATTTTACGTTTATTTTTGCTTTTCTTTAATTCAAAAGAAGAAAGATTTGTTTGTAATTGTATCAATGTAGTTCGATTCCTTAAAACATAAAAATCATTCATGCCTGACCATTCCTTCATTAAAATATGCCATTCGCAAAAGAAAGGACTAGAAATACCCAATTTTATAAAATTAACTCGTCTATTAGGTGGATATCGAAAATATTTTTCTTTCCAATATTCTTTTGTAGAAAGAGCTTCTCTATTATAAGCAAGTGTATCGGGTTCATTAATGTCTGGTGAATTTGTAATAGCAGTTTCAAATACTATTGATTTTGTTTCTCTCAGAGCTCCGACCCTTGTACAACGATATATGAAACCAAGCCAGAATGCCATTGCCCATCCTGATGGTATAATGATATCAATACCCGAAGCTAAACCTATTAATAAAAGTTCATAGTAATAAAGATTCTTGATATTATCAAATATTATATTTGTTATGAAATTTACACAAACCTGTATTACAATTACCAGGTTTTTGAATAACGAGTATAGGAATTTTTGCAATTACATCTTCATTAAATTGATTATCATTGCTTACACCAGGAACTAAATTGTTGCTTCTTAATTTATTAATTATAATATTGGATAGATATGATTTACTAATTTTCTGACGCATATTTTTATCCCATATTGGACTATCATTTGAATCTGCCAATGGCATAGTTATTGTTTCAGAATCTGTAACTTGTTTCTGTGGTTTTGTTCTTTTTTCAGGTAAATAAAAACGTGGATCTAAAACAGTGAATCCCAAGACCATATTTCGTGGTAATTGATGAGGAGAATTTAATGATTGTAATGTCTGCCACAATTTCTCTTGGATTTTAAAAGTTTTGAAATTCTTTTGATCGCTATAATAATCTTTATACCATGTATCCTTAATGTCAAGAGAATCTTTTTTATCTTCTGTAACATCATCACAATCCATTTTTGATTCAATTATTGTTGATAAATTTTGTTTAATATTGGGTAATTTAAATGTATTCGTTAACACGTCTAACGTCAATGGACCACAGAGTCTAAATCTATTCAAAGTACCTTTCAATAAATTCAATCGACAATTACTTTCATTGCTATAAGAATTTTGTAATTGATTAAATGATGTTGATCCTTCGTCTTCAATAATACAGGAATTAAATTTAAAACTGGACATAATATCAAATAAAATATCATCATAAAATGCTGGATGAACCCAAATCCAAATGGTTCTTTGATCACAATTATCAGATTTCCATAGAAAGTGTACATTCCCTATGGGAAACAATGGAAAACTATTTTTCTTGAAAAACATTAATGTACCTTCTCTTGTACCATTAATGTATACCTTTGCACCAAATGTTAATTCATTTGGATTGCAATGTGATTTCAAAGTTTCTTTTAAAATATTTTCCGGTCCAATTATTTCAATACAAGCATAATAAGAAAGATCTTGTATCAAACAATGTTTTCTAATGGCACGATAATTTGCTTTAAAGCATTTATCATTCGCAAAATCAGCGATTCTATATCCCCATTGTTCAACCATATGAAATCGTTTTGCATGCCATATATGAGTTTCTAACCAAGCTTTTTTTCGTTGTCTTCGATTGTATTCTAGAAGTAAATTGGATGGACGTCTGCGATATTTACGTGAAGGCCTTTTATTTTTTGGTGGTAAACCGGACTTGATCATTTGATTTAAATGTGCTTCCCGTAATCTCCTTGGCAATCTTTTGACATTATGTGACATAACTCGTCTACGCATATGTATGGGAAGCTTTTGAAAGACCAATTTTGATTGTTGAGGATTCTCTACAACAAAAAAAAAATAATACTTACACATATAAAATAATACCATCAAAATTAATAAAATAATCAATTACCTATGGCATGAGTCATTGCTGCAATTTCGCTAGCTCTTGCAGCAGCTAATTTCATAATAGAAACATCATATGGTAATGATTGTGTTCCACCCAAAAATATATCAAATTGTTCTTTATTTTCCATGTTGATAAAATTATAAGAACAAAATAAAATTTCTATCTAAATATATTTGTCAAGAATAATTTACGACTATAAAAAATTCAAAATCTTTCGGCAACAATTTCTTTTGTATATTATTTATAATTTTTGTAATTTAACCTCTTTCATAAAGCACAATAAAATAACGCCGAGACAGAAGCACGTGTATAAATGTACAGTTACGTTTATTTTTCTATATGCGATTGTACATTACCTACAGCGCCACGATCCTTCCGTCGTAGAACTACAAATCAATATGGAGTATGTAAATTAATATGTTCGAATTTTAGAACTAATTTATTATTCTAAAGAAAACTATTACAAGAGAAAGATATTTATTGATTCGTTTTTAATAAATAATTAATCCTAAGGTAATGTTTCAAGAATATTATATAAATATCATATATCGACGTATAATAAAACATAATATTAGAATTTTAAAAACATGAACGAAGAACGCGGTCAGTATTACTGAAAACAAAAAAAAACAAAGAAAAAGAACGATAGAAAATGGAGTATGTGGCCGTTACACCAACCAATAATTATCTTATAAGAGATATCTACTTTATGAAACATTAAATATGAAATGTTTATTACTTATAAAGCTGTCGATAGTTCGTAGTTTCCTTGGTCGTTGTTTAATATTACAACGAACGGTGATGTGTGCTACATCATTTACTGTCACTCATGTAATTTCTTTCACCCATGTAATTTCACGAAACAATATAAAAATATTACCTGTCATAGAATTTCTCTCTTTTGCAGATGTGCTATATTTAAATTCGTACGAAGGAATATGTATGCCGTAGTATTAAATAATGGGCAATACATTTTTACCGTCACTTATGTTTATAATTATAGTCAAAGATATAATAACGCAATTTCTTTTGCTCAGGTATAAGAAGCCGTGCGTAACCATAAGTGTAAACAGTGTGTCGCATGTTCCATCTTAGGTAAGTTCTTTGACATTTTTATATTATATATACGTATATATATATATATATATATATATATATATATATATTCTTTTTGTTCGAATTATTGATAAGATTAAATATCTTTATTTTTGTTCATTTTTTGATTAATAATATTTATAATCAATAAATCTAATCGATTACACAATTGTTTCAGAATTTTTACAATATGTGGAGCGACGATGGAAGCCTTAAAATCGTTTTATTTTTTCTCATCAGTTATTATTACGTTGGAGAAACGAAATCATGCCGATATTGGTGCAGAACGCACGATCTTCGATATTATTGTTGTCAAAATGGGAAAAGTGAAATGTGGAAGGATACTATGTGGCCATCTTTTTCAATACCATGGTTTTGGTTTAATTTTGGAGAATCACATTGGCATCCTTTAGTTCATTCGTCGTGGGAGAAAAAGAAGAAAATGAAACATTGTCCGCCATTAAGATCGCATTGTCCGCGATCTTACGATTGGTACGATTTACCAATGCTTTGCGATGATGACGATCAATGTCAAAGTAAAGAAAAATGTTGTTATGACGTTTGTCTCGAGCATAAAACTTGCAAGCCCGCGGAATAGTTGCGCAGATATCAAGGGACACGTGCGCGCACGTTTAACAGGGTAACAGCATGGAAAGAGTACAACTATGCGTGTCTCGTCGTCACAAATAATATTGCGTCTTTAAATTCATAATACGACGCTAGAACAACTAAATTGCCTCTCTCTCTCTCTCTCTCTCTGTCTGTCTGTCTCTCTCTTTCTCTTTCTCTCTCTCTCTCTCTGTCTCTTACGTAATCGACCAGCGGAATCGCAGAATAATATTTTGTTAACAATGATGTATATTCAGTGAAGTGACCTTACGAGTCTCAGTTTACGCGACAGAATTTACGTGGGACCGACAACAAGTAAAACAGTCATATGCTAATCGTTACGTTTCTTTGCGAGTTACATCTCAATTAAGAGAAAGAGAGAGAGAGAGAGAAACGGTGATATTATTAATTAATGAATATAAATTTAATAGGATATATTTTAGCATTAAAATGGTCGTAGAGATATGGTCGTATAATTGATTCTATAAAATTTTTAGAATCGCTCGATTAAAATTCGTCCGTTTAAAATTATTTGGCGTGAGAATTTTGACAAAATAATTTTGGCATCGTCGTTATATTTCACATGGTTCGCTAAATTTATTATGCCTATCTAACGAAGATGCGTTTAAGAAAATAAAGATGATATTTATTGTAAAGGATATATTTTATAATAACGATCGGAAAAACATGGTTCTGCGCTTACCACGTGACTACCCTTCGTTACTACGGTACAACGGTAATGAGAAAATACGACCAGGTGGATCCCGTGAATTCATGAATTGGGTCTTGGCCTACTACCTACATCAATCTTTAACTTCGGAGCCCTTTGTAAGGGTACCTCATTCCGGCACGCGCATAATTGGTCCCGAATTGGCTCGAGCTGATTATTTCATTCCTGTGGACTTAATGGGCGCCAGAGGGCGTTGAAGCGATTCAGATAAGGGCTTGGCGTACAGCAGATGCGTGCTATGCCTGCGTGAGGTGGGTTCGAGCCTCTTAAATCAAGATATCAAGTTGTTTGTTTTAAGGCGATTTAAGTCATTACCAAGACTCGATGACGCGCAAACAAGATGCATACGTGATGTATATAGATTGTAAGTAAAATTTTTTTTATCCTTTCAAACGGGATTTAAAATTGGCAAATATTCTTAATAATAAAATGAAAGGAAAAGTTTATCTTGCGATATTATTTCGGATATTATATAATCAATGTCAATCTTAATTATTAAATTTAATATTAACATTAATGTTCTTTTGTTTTATCTCTTGACGTAGAAAAAAAGTAAGATTACTTTGCAGAAAGATCGATCCAAGCGATAACATTGATGTACCTGGTCGAAAAAATGCAATCACTGTATCCTGCTGCGAGGAAGACATTTTTCTAAGAAAAACACGACGCTATTTCATTGACAAAACAGTGAGTTGTCAAGTTAAACGAGTTTGGAGTCCCGTTTGCGTCGTACCTGTGTCTACGTTAGTTGAATATCAAAGAGGTGCGTTTTTGAATATATTTTTATATATGAAATATATGGATAGATGCTTTGTAAAGATTGAAATCTCTTCGAGTTAGATTCCTCTGCCAAAAGCGATTGTATCTTGATAAATTCAAATAGAATTGCAATTGTTCTTTCACGTTTTTACCACATTCTTTAAGTTACTCTTTTATAATCTTATAGAAGAGAATGAGTACTAACATTAACTACCGTGGGAATTTTAGAATATGAATCGAACTTGATAAAAACAAAATATAACCAAACCAATTTCTCATTCGAAAAATTCAATTCGATTTAAGTCTTCGAATTAAAGAGGTTTCGTTTTGAAACCTATCACGTGAACGGACACGACGTTTGAGAAAACCTTCTCTCAATGGTCCGTAGAATGAACCTTTTTACGGATTCTATTCCCGTTGTGTATTCACCAGACATGCTGCTGTGTAAAAGGGTAAAAGAATGGGAATGGAACTGGTATTGGAATGAGAATGGAATCTCGTATGGCGCGCATGCGCCGTCGAGTGTTCATTCATTCATTCAATTCATTCATTCTTTCATTCATTCATTCATTCATTCATTCATTCATTCATTCATGGATCGGTCCTATAATACGTATAGCTTCATGATTATTTATAAACATCATCATATTCCAATCATATTCCAAAATTCTCATGAACTACAATAATGCGTTATATATAAAAACGGATGATTAGAAAATTTTTTCGTAGTAATAATTTTTCATTTGTTTCAGAAGGACGAATAGAAAAAGTTCAACGATTTGTCGGAAGATAATTTAAAGAAAAAGAAAAAAAAAAAGAAGAAAAGTTTTTATCTAGAAAAAATTCGGTATTATTAAGTTTCTCATTCGAAGTGCTCAATAATAATGTGCATTTGTACGTGTGCATGGGGATGAAAAGAATAAAAGCGAAAAAGGAAACATGAAGAGGAAACTCGATGGAGGGTCGAGAATGACTACACTCCTTTCAAGATGCTCGCCTTGGCGGCGACTGATGGTGTCTCGTGTGGGGTAGTACTTGGTAGTGGGGGTAGTAGGATTCGGCTGCTGGTGTAACGTGGAGGGGGAAGAGCGCACCTATGCCGGCACGGAACTCGGAAGAGTATCGTGCTCTCAGCGGTATTCGCTTGCGAGCCGCCGTTAGAAGCGGATCGCGAATTTGCGGACGCTCGTACTTTAGTACTTTGCACGTCGCGAATTATTATTTATTAAAACGAATATTATTATCGTTTGATTTTATTCTCTCTCAGTACGATCGATTTAGCAAGAAAAAAAGAGAAAGATTTTTTTTCTCACTCGAATATACGTTTGAGTAGATTTTTGATCTTTCTTTTTTTTTTGTTTTTTTTTTTTTTCATTCTCTCTTCTTTCCTTTTTTTACTTTTTTTTTTTTCTCCATCATTAACACGTCAAGTTTGACAGTTAAGTTGTTAGAGAAGGGAAGAGAAATTATCTAGTGGAAAGAGAATTGTTAGAAATTATTGCGGTGGAATATTAGAAGGAAAATAGGAGAGAATTTTTATAAGAGAAATAGAAAAAGATAAGTCGAAGATTTTGAGAAAAGCTAAAAAAAGAAAAAGAAAAAGAAAAAAACGTTGACTGGTTGACCGGTAGAGCGCGAAACGGTGTACCGGACGGCTCGCGATAAAATTCACGGTGGAAAGTGCTACACGCTCCGATTCACCGTGCGTTATCCGAAGAAACAGAAGCAAAGGAAGGAAGGAAAGAAGAAAGAAAGAAAGAAAGAAAGAAAGAAAGGAAGGAAGGAAGGGAGGAGAGGGAGGGAGTCACGCTCGTCGAAGAGAGACGCGTCTAGTCGCGAGACTAACTCAAAGAACAGAACCGATCTTCTTCCAGACGGCTCCAAAGTTGCGATAGAGCTCTGTGGAAAAGCTCGCGTTCGATGCGCCCCACTCCCGGTTTGCTTATCTCGCTCGAAGACGGCCAGTTTTGTTTCCGTCTCGGAATTTTTCGGAGGACGTTCCGAGTTATTGCATTTGCTTTACGACGATTTCTAATCTTAGAAAATTTACAAGAAGAACATTAAACTCTTAACACATCGCATTTGGAATCATTTGGAGAAATCATTACCGTCAAGATGATTATTGGATTCGTTCTGATACCTTTAATCTTCGCCAATAATATTTATTGTCAAAGTGAGTATACTTAAATCCTTTTTCTATGGATTTTTATTTGACACTTCGATTAGTTTATTTATTATTTTATATTTATTATTATATTCTTGTATTTATTATTTTATGCTCCTTTTTAATTATTCTATTATTGCAATTAATTATTGCCATCGATATTATTTGTAATGACAACGGGCAGGAAAAACATTCCTCATACGGTCGTTCCTCCGAGGAACGGAAAACGAAAATGCAGAGCGATGACGTTAAGCGATATGTTCCGTAGGAACGGTATCGGAAGTACGGAGTGCAGCATTATACTTAACCACGCGATGCTTGGAATTATAACATAGCTTGCAACGATGCATTCTCATAGGCGATTCGGATTGTTGAACTCCCCGCGTAGCCCTGTTACGCTCTCGATTTCTTCATATTTTCTAACGTTTTTATATCCATATTTTTAAAATTATTAATAACGTTCGTTGACGTAGATATTCCAAAGTTTGAAAACAGGCTGCTTCTCTTTCGTGTCTTATAATATAACTTGCGTGTGATCACGCTGTGTTTATTTCCGTTCTGAGATACGTTCTTAACCATCGATCAAACGTAGATTTTATTTATGGAACATGCGATAAAGCGTCACGGATTCTTATATAAAATTTTTAAGTACTATAACGAAACTATTCGTGAATATCTTTACATAGTTATTCATCATTATGTATCATCTTTGTCGCGGAGTAACCCCGCGATAAGATAAAAATGAATTGAACTTGGAAGAGAGACGATCGAGGCAATGAAACCATCGTTAATTTATTCGATTGAATTTTTTTTCTTTTTTTTTCTTTTTTATTTTTTCAGATAGGAGAGATATTTTAGTAAAATTTTTAAAACTTTTATAATATATGTGGATACATATATATATATATTCTTGAAATTCTTGAGATTTTAAAAGATAGGAATAAGAAAAAGAAACATTTCGAGAAGAGAGAAATGGGTGCAAGAAGATTCTCGAAATAAACTATGGCAAACTTAACCTTCGATAAGAAAGAAAATCGTAGATGTTCTTTTATTTTTTTTTTTTCTTTTTTTTTTTGGAAACATTCTCACTCATAGAACAAGCATAAGGATATACAATAACGTAGAAAAGTGAGCGCAGGTAAGCCTACTACCTGGCAAAGTTTTATTCGAATGTATGAGAGTGTATCGTCGCTCTTCGAATTTCCAAAAGGTCCAGATAGATTTTAAGATACTTGGTTACGGTCCTGGACCGTTGTCAAAGGATTGGCAAAGTTTTCCTGAGTCTTTAGTAGGTCGCTCCCAGGTTCATTCACGTTTCGAAAAAAAGAAAAAAAGAAAAAAAAAAAAGAAAAAAAAAAAGAAAGAAAAAAAGAAAAAAATATTTCTTCGCGTTCTATTCCAAGTTGATAGTATACGCATTGTTGTAGATATACAATAGGTAGGAAAGAATTTACAAATCAATAATACTGGTACATCCGTGTAATTGTCCTGGATGTCCCTTTCACGGGATCCTTTTTTTTTTTTTTTTTCGAGTATTATACTCAATGTATCAATCACAAAGGACTTTCTTTCGTATTTCATAGTCTTTAAATAAAATTCGTATTTCCATTCGTTATAAATAGAATTTTTCTTTCGCGCGAATTTTTATATATATTACAAAACTGCGGTCTTTGTGGGGGAAAAAGAAAAAAAAAAAAAAGGAAAAAGAGAGAAAAGAAAAAAGGAAAAAGAAGAAAGAAAAAAGGAAAAGAAATCGATCGAATCACGAGTACGTATAGTTACTTTTGAAGTACGTGTTATACTTTATAAAAAAAAAAAAAAAAAAAAAAAAAAGAAAAAGAAAAAAGGGCGGAACAGTGAGAGAGGAAGCAGGATTGGTGGGGAAAGGGTGTAAGGGAGTAGACCACCCGCACGCGCGATATCTTCCTACAAATTTTTCTCAAGGACTTTTTGAGAACTCGCAATACCATATCGTCTTCTCCAAAGAAGGGTACTTATAATAAGGAAGGGTGATCTTTAAGAAGGATCACAATTCGCCCGCCCACGGTGCTTCTTCTCCGATCTAACATAAGACAACCCACCTATACATTTATATATTACGTACATATATACACATTTATATATATATATATGTGTGTGCGTGTATATATATATATATAAATTTCTCGTTTATAATTACTATCTTCGATTTCTTCGCTGAACGATAATCGATGATACGTGATCACTTTTCATATACGGAGAGGATAATCCTATTCGAAAAAAAAAAAAAAAAAAAAAAAAAGAAAGAAAAAGCAAAAGAAGCAGAAGTAGAAGAGAAGAAGAAGAAGAAGAAGAAGAAGAAGAAGAAGAAGGAGAAGGAGAAGAACAAAAAATGCCACGCAACTTCCGATATACCATGAGTAATACACCGAGCAATTTTTCCTCGATCGTCAACCGATCTATGTACATACGTAAGTGGACTAAAGTGGAACATTTAGTATGGATAAACGTATCGTGATCACGTTCGACGAGTCGAGTGGAGAGGAACAACGAGGTGATTCGAAAATATCGACTCATGGCACATCTGCCTTTTCGTGGATCCTTTTAATTGATCGTTATCGTCAATTAATTGTGTTAGGGACGAACTAAAAAAAAAAAAAAAAAAAAAAAAAAAAAAGAAAAGAATAAATAAAAAAGAGAAAAAGAATATCTTAAAAAGAAAAATGAAATATCTAATATTTTAATTTATCGAAAGAAAAATTAATAATAATTTTCGTTAATTCGTTCGAAATTTTTTTAAATAAAATAAAATCATCCTCCATTGTTTCAGTTAATATCTTATGTCTGTCATTTGCATAAGTCCTAATGATTAGACTCGCTTTGTTTTCGTCTGTCTTGCTCATGCTTTAAGAGAAGACTTTTGGCTTGCTAAGAACGTTTCTTCGTCTTCTTCTCTCTCTCTCTCTTTCTCTCTCTCTCTCTCTCTCTCTCGTTATTCTCTCGTGGCTGTCACCAAGGCGATGATGTATGATACCCATAGCGCGAGGAGAACAGCCGTCGTCATCGGTGAAACCGGCTAAGAAGCCTTCTTCTTCTTCTAAATACGACGAGTTCAGGATTAATGTTGCACGTAACACATTGTGTCCGTTAGCAAGGATGGACGTAAGACAGGTGTCATACTCGGTAAACTTTGATCGAGCAATAGAAAGCTTGTATGCACTGTTATACCAGTCTCGTTAGTGCAATTAACACGATTTCTCTTTCGTCTTTCCAGATGCATTGAGAATGTATATGTAGTTTAGAAAAGAGACAGAGATAGAATATATATGTAGTATGTTTTCTGGATGTACTCCAGAGATTCTCTAATATCTTAAAACAAGACATTGAAATAAATCTTGCAGCACGTATACGGTACAGAAATAGGAATGATTCTTTTTTCTTTGCTTTTTCATTCTTTTTTTTCCTGTTTTTCTTTTTTTCTTTCTTTCTTTCTTTCTTTCTTTTTTTCTTCCTTTCTCTTTTTTTCCTTTCGTAAACTCGGCCTAATGGTCTTCCAGAAGCCCTCTTTTTGTCGTTAGGCCCCGTTCGCTCGCATCCAATCGAAAGAGGTGTAAATTGCTTGCCGTATCAACGTTTCGTATCTTTTCTTTGCGCTGGATCAAATAACTATCTTGAATTCGAAGATAATCGAGTTCGGGTGTGCCGCCTTTGAACATCTTTTCGTTCTCCAAAAAATGGAGGATGTTTCTCTTTTAAGAAAAGAAAAGAAAAAAAGAAAAAAAGTAAAAGTCCTTGGAAGAAAAATTAGATCTTCCTTCCGGAACGAAAGTGCGTATCATTTATCCTTTTTCTCAAGGACTTTCGCGAAGGATACTCGCGTAGGATTCTCTCTTCAACGTGAGTTTTTTATTTTTTTTTTTTTCCTCTTTAGAAAGTCGACAACTTGTTCGTGTTATGTGCTATGAAGATTCTTTGAAAATGCACATCTTCGTGAGTAGCGATTCGACTCACGAAGTTCTTCTTTAAACGTCAGAGTTTAACTCTTAGTTTTGCATGCTTAATAGCGAGCAGGTATTAACAATTCTATCTGATCGTAATATTAGTCATGCTTGAGGATCGTGTTCCAAGAACCCGCAACCAATCTTATACATCTCGGCGACATATACATATACACACATATACATATATACAAGATTTCAAGCTTGAATGTTCTATTAATAAACTTAATGCTATTTCGCGAATTAAAGAAAATCGATCTTAAGTATCCTATTTACGATCGGTTATCGATTAGTAATAGATTTATAGGATACGATACTATACTTGAACATATGCCTGATATATATATATATATATATATATATATATATATATATATATATATATACGTACTAATTTATATATCGATATACATATGTATGTATTTATGTATGTATATATCTATGTATATATGTATGTATGTATGTATGTATATGCTTGTGATAACGACCGAGATCGAAAATATATAATAAAATACTATTTATTTTTTATGTATACAATCTCGTTTGCGTTACGTCAACGTCGTTTGGTATTTCTCGTCAAGTTTACGAGTCAGATAACAAAACGTATCGCGAGGAAATGTATTTTTAATAATAAAAAGAAAAAAGATGTCATAGATGCCAATATTTATTTTCATTTAAGTTTTATGAATTGGAAAACGTTCGTCTGGATTCGAATCGACGAATTGCAAGCTCAACTTTGTTTCTTTTTTTTTTTTTATTTTTTACTTTTCATTTTTCATTTCTTTTTCTTTTTCTTTTTCTTTTTATTTTTATTTTTTTTTTCGTTACTCGAGTGCACTCTCATAAAAAATGCAATTCCAATCTTGTAAAGATTTAATGGTCGTCGTTCGATTAATCATTCAATAGCTTTTACGATCGGGAGCATGTTACAATCTACATGAATATTCTCTCCTTGCATACGTGTACGTACATACATAGAAGCAAATTGGTAGAGATCGAAAATATCGAAGATCGTGTTTCGAGTGTGTATAC